GTGTGTGTGTGTGTGTGTGTGTGTGTGTGTGTGTGTGTGTGTGAGAGTTTCTGTGCAGCAAATGTGGGGCGGGGGGGGAGCCAGGGATGCTTGTCTCAACAAAGCTGAGTGAGCAAAACTGTAATTTTCACGTGATAAATGAACATTTTAAAGTTCTGCGTAAGTACATCTGCATTTGCACTCCTTGTGCACCATGGAAGTATGGGATCTGAGACAGGAAAGTGACTTAAACAATAAATTTTAAATCATCCAGGTTCAGATTTATTCGCGGTGAACGAGCGTGAATGTACCTCAGCCACTTTGAGGAACTCCGACAGCTTGGTCATCCTGTAAAGAAACTTCTTGTAGATGTCCAACGCATCTTTACACTGGTTTTTCTTCATGTCAAAGTACTTTTCTGAGGAGACAAAAGAGAGCAGAGGACAGTCAAATCAGAGATGAATAAAGGTTTATTATAAAAGAATAAAAGGAGCAGTTAGAATTTGACCCTTTGCAACTACACCGCCTAAACATGATGGGACGTCGGAAGTGAGGGAGTGGAGTAYTGAACACACCAACTGCAATTGTTTTCCCAAGTTGTTTTTGCCAGTAAAGCCATTCTACTTGTTCAAGTTGAGCTAATTTGTCTGTGGAAGTAGCACCTAGTTGGGACTCATAGCAGTATTTACAAAACATGTCACTGTTTCACATGTCTTTGTTCCATCTCTCAGTTACAAGGGAACCCTGACTAAATGTAACATTAGACGTTAATTGGTAAATACTTATTTATACTGTAAAAATACTGCAGGCCGTATAGTTTTTATTCATTTTAAAAACATATATCGTAATACAGATGGTACCATATTAATAACGTAGCAAAGTATACTGGGTAAACAATGTTTACTAGGTGTTCCGGTAAAGGAAGAACTCCATCTTTGGTAAATTATTTTTGAAAATACGGGTGTTGTGCTTGTGCATTGGTGTGGCGAGGACTGGCAAAAACAGGACTGAATCTAATKTTGGTGGATCGCCGTGCAACCTGCGGATGCATTGAAAATGTTCTGGTTTACTATAACCGGTGTGTTTTTACTGCGATGGTCGGAGCGGACGCAGTGTAAATTGGGCTTTACTCTTTTCGCTCTTGTTCAGACCAGACTTGTATAATCTTTGGCTTCATGAACAATTATAAGTGAGGGCATTTAGTTATTACTTCATTTAGACACATTGGTGTATATGTTACTCATAAATGTGTATAAATAATCCAACAATAGTGATGAATCACAACCTGTATTGCATATTTGGTTGACAATGTAATTTTCTCCACCTAATGTCAAAGTACAGTATATATACTGTATACACTACCCAACAGGTTGATGACTCCTTCATTGTAAGCAGCAAAGAGCCTTATAGAGTCTTTGAAGAGCAGCATGAAGGCTGAGTTGATCACTCCGTTGGTTAGCTCATTGGGATTGGCCTGGAGACAGGAAGCAAGGAATATAAAGATGACATCATCACATCTTACCAAAGCTTTTTATAAAACGAAATCCACAAACATCCACAAAAATCTGCTTTTCCAGATAATGTCAGTGTTCCCTATTGGCATTAAAGCTAAACATAGGTTGAGCAAAACAACACCCACAAACAGACTCGACACACACACACACACACAGTGTGCATTCAAATGAGAAACTTTAGTCATCATCCATTTTGATCAGTCTTTGAAGCTCGCTGGCACAAACCACAATACACCCACCAATTTCAGCAAATCCCCACCCGATCCTGTCTTCCCTCCGTACACACACAGAAATGTTATATCTGCCATCGTTCTAGCCTTCCTCTGCTCCCTGAGCAAACAGAGGGCTCAAAACCTAGCAGACGTCGTCTTGTTACCGCCATTTGCATTTTGATTGGAAAGTGAATGGACCTCGTCACTGACAAGTGTGAGAAAACACGTACCTGAAAATCCAGCAGAGCGTCCAGCTGGTTCTGGATGATGGGCAGCGTCTTGATCAACTTCTCTGTGTTCATGGTACGCATCACACCGTCAACACTGACATGGACAGGAAACACAAACACATTTTTTAACCCGTGTTCTGAAACTTGCTCAGTGATGCTTAAAATTTAAAGCTTGAGGGGAAAGGTTTGTAAAAATAAGTGACTGAAAATGCATTTTTCATATAAAGAACAATATTATGCCCAGTATGATCAGCCTAAAGATTTAGACATTTAACAACTTTCCTCTGGTGGTTTGCAAAAGTTTTAATCACCTTCTTGTTATCATGCAACCTGTAAAAATATTCAGAGTTTGAACATTATTATCTACATAGAATAAGATTTTGATTTGAAAGAGCTGAGTGGGGCAGAGAGGTAAGTCTGATGATTTTTGTTTACGTTCTCCATCTCCAGCCTCACTCCCACTCATTCCTTTATCTTTTGCAAAGTTACATTTTGTTAGTTTATGATTGTTAGCAGAGTTTGGCAGATAACAGCAGTCCTGCTTTCCAGGTTTTTGGTTTTCAACACTAAGAAACCATAATGCTCATGTGGTCCTTGGTCAAAATGAGTTTGGGACTCTTGCTTTGTAGGGTTAGGGCAGCGGCTTTATTCAGACAGTCAACTGCTGGCTGGTTTAAGGATTTTACATCTTTTGTTTGTTTTAGCTGGGGCTCCCAACTCCCTGCCTGTCTGATCTGTCTATAGGATCGTTATTAGCTGTACAAAGCTGGGCTCCAAAGCAGAGTAGCCAGGAACTGGTGTTGTACAAGATATTTAGAATTTGTCAAAAGGCATATTGGAAATTCCCAAAAAATGTGGAAAAAGATGGTCAGAGATCAGAAAATAATTTTTTGGCCATCAAGGACACCAAATCTGGTTCAAATCTAACACCTAGTCATGCTGAGGACACCATCCCTACAGYGAAGCATGGCAGTGGCAGCATCACGTGTGGGAATGTTTTTTTAGAGGCAGATTTTTGAAAACTGGTCACAGTTGATGGAAAGATGGATGTTTGAGTCTTCTAAAAGATTTGAAACTGGGGCAGAGAACAATGACCCTAAACTCACTCCTGAAACAACACTACATTGGTTTAGGGAGGATCAGAAAAGTTCTGGGATGATCCAAAGCCAAGACCTCAATCCAATCTTCTGAGAATCTTTGGTTTAAATAGTATTGGAAACAAGCAGCACCATTTCAACTTGAAAAGGCTGTAAAAAGAGTAATTTTTTTCATTAATAATGGTCAGAAATACCAGTTGAAAGTGATAAAAAGCAGCTCGTCACAGTATTGATTTTTGAGGGAAGGATATGCATGCTCGGGTTTTCTTTTGTATCATTTCTTGTTATAATAAAAAAAAAAATTACCTTCAAAACTAGAATTGTATAAATTAAAAATAAAACCTCCAAAGGTCTTTTTAAATTCTACATTGTAAAGCAACAAAACTACAAGAATAGCAATGAGAGTGAATACTTCAGCATATGACTAAATTGAAATGATCAAACGAACACAACCTCCCTGAAGCAAACGCCCACATTTACATTTAAACTAAGGCTCCTTGCTGGTGTATTACCTAGAATAATATTATTTTAAATAAGGACTGCGCCTGAAACAAAGCTGCCCCAGAGATTTGGCAGCACAAACATCATTAAGCTAACAAATCAATAATTTAATAATGAACAAAGTTGGATTCAAGATTTGATCCTGGCACTTGCCACCAGCTGTACCGTCTGTAGACATTTTTAAAAACCTGAATGACTAATGGCAGCTTGTTTAACAAGCACAGTCTGGAAAATTATTTTGGAAATCAGTAACATGTAGCAGCATTTAGCTGATACAAGAGGACTTTATGAGGGTACTATGCAAAAGTGAATTGTTTGAGTTTATATCAAAAACATAACCAGAGTGTTGCTTTGACTCATTTGTGCATGCTTAAGAAAAACTTGAATCTCCTGTGGTAGCCAAGTGGAGCTGCCTAACCGTTTGATGGTACAAAGCTCCTCCCTGAAGCTCAATCAGCAGCTGAGCTCCCGCCCCACAGAGCACCCGTGCCACGGAGCATTATTGTGAAGATGTGCTGGAGTGGGAGTTTCTGAAATGGTAGGAGGTTCTTAAAGCGACAGAGACCAATTTCAAGGTGTTTGGATAAACTATGATGTAAAGTCAAATTTATTTATGGCATATGGAGCATTTTCACAACAATTGAAGAAAACATTGCTACTTGATTGTGGTATAGAATTGAACTTTGTGCCTGGAAAACACATAATACCCTCTGGACTTAAAAGTCAAATAAAACGGTCCTAAAAGGTCAACACTGCGACTTGTAGCATTAAGGAGTGGGACCTGTGTGTATGATGTTATGTTTGTGGGTGACAACCCCTACCCTCGCTTCATCTTGGTGAAATCCACCGCCACCAGTCTGTAGGACATGGCCTTCTCATTCAGGTAGCGACTGTATCGTCTGATGAAAGTGGACATGTCGTAACCTGAAAGAGGGATTGAGAGAAAACATTCATAAGGGAAGGAAATAATTCTGTTGTATAAAACTGTAACAAATGGACTACATTAGTTTCATTTGTAATCTTGATTCATAAATACTTCATTTTAATTATCTAAACCCTTCTGGTACTCAGTATAATGTCTTTCAAAGCATATATTATCGTATCTGGATCTTTAAAAACAAACTACACAGCAAAAACTGTAATCCCAGCAGGGCTTCTGCACACTTCAAGCAAGCATGTTTTACCTTGCAGGGCTCCCTTATCCAAGAAGTTGTTCAGGTTAAACAGTGTGTTTCTGGAGGCCARGTACTGGATAAAACGCTGAAAAAACAGAGAGAGACAAGGAGAGGGGAAAAAAAGATCCATCAAATGAATGCTAAAGGATTGTTGAGCTAAAGCAAATTCAAAAACAGCCTCATTTTCACATACCGACAAGTTTCAGAGTCAGCATATACCCATTAGCTCATCTACTGTTTAATATTTCTGTCACCTATTATGAATYGTTTTGCTCTAACAGTGCTTTGTTACAGGGTTTGCATTTATACATTTTTATTCTGGTGAATCTCTRCAAAAGTTAAAAGAACATAGCATTATGGGACCGTAAAGACCATGTGCTTATCAGAGGAAGAGTATTTGTGGGAAATGAGGGAAGAAAACTCAAACCCTTTCAACATAAACTCAAACATAATGATTTAGGTCTTCAAAGTATAAAATATGAAAAGTTTCCATAAAGATTTCTTAACGTTTGAGTAGAAGAGTAACTTTTTCAACTGTTCAGTCTATTTTGACCTCATTTTATTTTGTCAAATCTGCATGACTGAGGGGCCCTGCAGGATAATGACTCTTGAAAGATAGAAGGGGAGGGAAAAAATCCAATATTAAGGCTGTGTTTAAATTCAGGGGCTGCATCCTTCAAAGTCCGAATTAGTCAACTGATTATGTCACTGAGCCGTGCCGAAGACCRTCCAAATTCGAAGGCTCCTCCAATTGCGRCCCACAAATGCATCCTCCTTTTCCCTCGATTTGAGGGATGGGTCCAATGTATCCTTAACAGTTCCCCCTATCCCAAGATGCAATGCATGCAGATTTTTTTTGTTTCTAATGACGGACAAAGCGAGWGAAAGGAGTACAATTTTAATTACTCATCAAAAATTATTGTGAACAATCTCATATGGCAGGTCCCTTAGTTCTTYTTGAATTGCCTATAAGACAATTCAGTCAATTTATTGTATTAATATTATTAATATATTGCAAATTTTGATTATTTTCGATTTTCATTGCTTCTGTTTAGCACCATACACCTAGCCTGGCCCTTGCCTTCCTACGCAGTTCTGCTCAGTTCTAGTTTCCCTTCTCTGCTCCRTCTGGGAYTTCTCCCATWGASAWGGATTTCGCTGGCAGATTTTTAGCCGGGCCAATCAGAGAACAGAAAGTCAATTTTCTGCGCAGTGTCTGCTTGTAGTTTATTTTACCTGGGCCAATCAGCAAACAGAAGGAGGAGCTTTGAACGATGTCAATTTTCTGCGCAATGTCTGCTAGTCTGTGTTGATAAGGCTTCCAAATTAAAATAAATTTGTCTGACAAAGCAGCAGCTCTCATTTACAGTCGTTTCATTCAGCTCGGTACTTTTCTCCTCTCAGTAGGGTTGTTTACAGCACACGCAATTTCCGATTCGCTTCTTAGCTTAGCCTCCTTCACAGCGACACACACACATACACATACACATACACATACACACACACACACACACACACACACACACTTCAACAGAGGCCACGCCTCCAGCAAGAATCGTTTCTCAATAGCAGCAAGTCCAAAACCTCCGTCCGAAGCAAAGTGAAGGACAAGGGTCTGGTTTTAACCAGGCTACCATACACCGGGGTATGGACGGGAATAAAGCTGAAGTCTAGACTATCCATATTCGCAGCCACTTTCTTCCAAACTTTGCCATCAACAAATGACCCAGGTCCTTCTAARAATGCAGCCCCTGAATTTGGACACAGCTACAGACATTTGATAAATAATTAAGTCAAATTTAATTTAAGCCTGAACATCATTTCAATGTCAAAATGCTCACATAGTCTCACTCACCTGAGAACTRTAAATGGCCTTACGTATCTGTGGATATCTTAAACTCCTAAATACAGTCACATTGCTCAAACAAAGTTGGTTTTTGTTTTTACTCTATTCTGTTTGATTCACAGTCAAAGGGAAATGGACTTTAGCTTTTCCTCTCATCTACACAGCTGAATGCTTTCTGACTAATGAGCTGGCACATCTACCAGTGAGTTGGACCGAACCAACTCAAAAGGTCCGGAAAGGTGGGGAGTGGGGAGTGCAGKGTTTAAAGATTCTTTTTAATGTCAATGTTTTAGTTTGCATGAGCTGATAAAGATGTAATGAGGCAAATGCATGCCATGATCTTTTTAGGTCAAGAAGTATGGGAACCAGTTCACAGGTCCGCAACACCTTTTAATAAATGAGGTAGTTGCACCACCTGCTCTACTGATCAGGCACCTCTGTCGAGTGCATACTTTCTACAGTCCTTTTCTCTTCTGTCATCAAGATGTTCACAACACACGTKCTTTAGCATGCTAGCCAATGGGCTGTGTGCATCAAGTGCAAATAGAGTCCATTTGTTTAGCCAAGAATTATTGGCATGCAGAAGGGAATGTTTGGACTAYAACAGGCTATGATTTATTGCAGTCCAAGCAGTCCTTTGCCATTATGATACTCTGCACTTTAATATTACAATGACAAGAAAGTTTCACCACTTTGTGCAGCTGTGATTTAGAATACCGTTTTAAAGCCAACCCAGTTGMAAAGTTAAGCCCGACTTGAACTTTGGACTGCAAACAATTTGGTTTAAACCCTGCCTCTGAAGGATCGATCGTGCACTTCATGTTTCTAGAACATTTTTTACTACCTCATATTCCTCATGTCTCTGACTAGCAGAGTGAAATGGAAAAAGTCCTGGCCATCATCCACGTTTTGTGGAATTCAGGCCTCAGGCTTCCAAAAACCATGTAAATGTTAAGGCCCACTCTGTCCAACTGACTCAAAATGACCTAAGATTTGCTAATTTGCCAAATCCAAATATGGCTGAGAACCAGCTCAAACAAACTAGTTGGAGCATTTAAAATTGTGGATGTGGATGTCTTTATATTGGTGTGTGGACATTTTACTATGCTTGTAAAGATCATTTTGTCATTGTGTGGACCTTTGCCTGCTCCACACAATGGAAAAAAAACATTTGTGGGTCAGGGGATAGGTTTAGGGCTAAGGTATAAAGTAGGTTTAGGTTAGGGTTAGGTATGTAAAGGGTCATAGTTAGGCTGTAGAAATTATTSAAAGTCTATGCAAAAATTCACACAAGTATAGAAAGATGAGTGTGTATGTGTGCGTACACACACTTATGCTTGTGGGCATGCATGTTGGAATCAGCTGTACTGACTGTTCCAAAGCCGCTGGGTCTGTTTAAAAAGGCAGAAAGAATGCAATTTTGTTCCTGTCATTTTTCTGCATTTATGCACCCAGTTTAAAAAGGAAAAACAAAACTTTCAGATTTTTYGGAGTTTTATTACAAGAACTAAGGCAATGATTGTTAAAGTTGAAACACGAGTCGTCGGGTGAGGGAACAGTAAGTGAGAGTGACTTTTCTCCTCTCAGCAAACATTATGAGTGAGTGATGTAAAATTTATAATAACTCAACACAAAACTTAGCTTTTGTTTGGGAATKATTAATACATAAACCCATCTCTGGAGCAGCAGGCCTCAGGGTTTATGGATTATTAATCTAAWCTATAAATCAAAGCTTTGCATTTTTAAATATATTTATTAGAAACTGGGCATAAATCAGATCAGATAAAAGGATCGAGGCTGAGTACGGAAAAAAGGACATATCTAATGAACGCATCATGAAGTTATCACTTTAATAAAAGATTAAATACATAAAGAGTAAAACTATGATTTTTGTAGGATTCAGAAAAAAAAGGAAAAATCTACATACCTAAGCAGGAAAAAAGAAACATTTAGCTGTTTTCTTATTTAGCTCTGCCAACAGCATSCCCTCTAGTTACCTGTTAATGAAGCACTGACACTTCTCAGCAGCTCTTTACTTGCTTTGATGGATCCTTGATTTATTATTGAGTTTTTATCCTGTAAGTGATTTATACTCTTTATAACATCACGTCACTTCTTTAGTTTATCACTGAAAAGTCRTACAAGAGGCCTGTATTTTTTAGGTTGTTTTTTTTCCTACTTCTGGGTAATTAGCAAACGTAAAGGTGCTCAGACTCTGAGAGGTGATGGAGAACAAACATCCCACCTRTTAGATTTCAGCTTGTTTTGAGAGCAGGTTGCCTTGGAGATGGTGGTGTTTAGCTCGAATCACGACAGTCTTAAATAGAGCTTCCCAGAGCAGCTCGCACGGCCGTCAATTGGATCTAGTTGCWGGTTAAATGGCTCAATTTGTTGTTTTCTTGAAATGGACAAATAGCTTCGGCTTTACAATTGAATGGGACTCGGTGCAACATCTGCTAATGCACATGAAGTATCGCAGAGAAACACTCGAGAGGTTGTATAACGAGCGTAAGAGCTGCGATCGTGTCAAAATGAACCCAGTTTAAGACGGAGSAGCTCAGAGATGGTCACAGATAAAGAAGTTAAAAAAAGTGACAGACTTCACAAGCTTTCATTTTCTGCTTTGCCTGGAGTGCAGACGGCTCACTTCCTCATCAAAACTCCAAGAGTCTCCCTCGGCAGTGCGCACAAAGGTGGGAGGCAAAGGAAAGACACACAAAACGTGGGGATGGAGTTAAAAAGGGGGGCACAGAGATGTGTGTGTGTGTGGTGGTGGTGGGAGGGGGGGCACAGAGGGGAAACTCAAACCCACTGAGCCTCACATTATTCAGCAGTGAAGATGACGACGACGTACTTCTGGGAAGGGATTCAGATTTTTGAAGAAAGGTAAAATCATGTGGGGGTCTAAATAGGAGAGAAAAACAAGAAGTATTGAGTCCTGGGTTGTGTGTATGTGTGGGGGGGTGTGCACAGGGAGAAGAAAGCAGCAGCAGGTCGACTCCGCTTGTAAAATTATTCATGTTCACATATCGSAGAACAACTTCATGCATTATTAAAGCCTTAAGACCATGCCTCTCCAGAACTCAACTGTGAAAACTATACGTACAGCAGCATCCCCTCCCACTTCTCTCTCTCACACACACACACACACACACACACACACACACGCACACACACGCGCGCGATTCTCCAGCTCTCTCTGCAAAACGCCACAAGTTAAAAGTTACCATAGCAACCAA